ACTGTAATCTCTCCTAGTTGCAAAGTCTCTTGATTCTCAGTTCTGTGTGACGTTGGTCCTAGGATGTGATATACGGTATGGAGCAGGAAAACTATTGGTGGGTGGCAGAAAGTGTCTAGTACTGGCAAGATTCTATAAGGAAAATCAACTCGAGCGTTGTCTGGTTCATAGCGCCCGTCACAGTAACAGCGGGAGCTTGGTTCTAACAGGTGATGTAAAGGATGTGACGGGGATATCACTGATAAGTGATAGAGTGGGATAAAAACTGATAGGGGCTGATAAAGGGCATTGCAGCCGCTCTTCTTCACGGTTGTACGTCTTTCTCAACAGCAAGTGATAAATGTTCAGTGGTATGGAGATTGGTGACAGGTGACGATTATATCGGTTGATAAGAATCAATAAGAGGTTATCTTGACTTCATTCCTTACTACTACACTCCGAGTATTGGGTATTCCAGGCTTAGTTTATAGCGAACTCAGTCCTTTACTGTCACTGCATGTCGAGCGAGCGAGGGGGGGACGGCATATAATACGTGTGAAACGGGAACATCAAAAATCTCACGGCAAAAAAGTTGAGCGGTAAATACACTTTGATTCTGTTCTGGACAAGAACGATGTTTCAGGAGAGGTAGGATTGCTTTGAATATGTAGGAGGATTGGGGTCATGAGGTACAGTGTGAATATATACTTCGGTAATAAGCTCCTTAGGAATACCTGTGTGATTCATGCGAGAGTGCGCGCCGCCGACTTCGTTCTGTTGCAGTTTTTGGTAGCCCATTATTTCTCTCATACTTTCTTTGAATTTCTCATGATTCCAAATAAACAGAAATTGGCATTAATCGTGACCGGAGTGAATCGCTTCGCATTGCCTTATCACGTCCGGCGAGCGGTAGTGTGCGCCAGCCAAGCTGGTAAACAACAATTAATTAACAAAGGTTCGAAGTGGTCTTTTCTGGCTCAAAATTTTGTGCGAACTAGTGTTTTGCCGATAAGCCTGATGTCTTTTGATAGAAAACTATCCGATCTTATAAAACTGTCCACTTCAAGAAGTGACTCAACGCTCTTAGATTTTACGTCTTGGAAGTTGAGTCTCGTTTTGCTTTCACTGAGCCGCATGATACCATTTGAGAAGAGTACGGTCGGGAAGCAAAGCGTTTTGTGATGAATCAAAATTTATCTGAGCAATTCAACAATTCTACTTACACCCTCAGAGAAATAGATCGTGCTGCACCCCCTTCCAATTCAGTAATAAGCTGCTAGACCTGATAATTCTGGAACATCCACTTCAGCCAACGAGGACATTTCCAGTGATCATGGGATGCATTCATGGCATCATTAGGGCTGACTTCACCCAGTTCGAATGCTTCAGAAGTTTGGTGTGCGGGCTTCTTTCGTCAATGGAATCCACGGAGCTTACGAAACTCATGAAAACGAACCTGCAATTTCGAATGGCTTGAGCCGACATGGAAAGTATTTAAGAGGTTTCGTTCCAACCAATAGTTTAAGGCTGCGTTTATACTTTGCGGCAGCGTAGCGTAGCGTAGCGCAGCGTAGCGTAGCGCTTCCAGCGTACGCCAGCGGCAGTGCCGAAGAGAGGATGCATATCGATCTAGCTTCACCAGCGTCACCAGCGGCACGCTGGCGTACGCTAGCGGCACGCTAGCGTACGCCAGCGTTTCTCCAGCGTTTCACCAGCGTTTTGCTAGCGCTTGCAGCGGCAGGGGAGTAGAGACTATGGGAGAGCTGGAGGGTACAAAACTCATCGATTGCGCGTCTCCCACTCGCCCTTAGTCTCTACAATGCACATCGCTTCTGCGTCTCCGACGGCCCCATAGTCTCTACGATGCACATTGCTTCTGCGTCTCCGACGCCACATAGTCTCTACAATGCACATCGCTTCTGCGTCTCCGACGGCCACATGGTCTCTACAATACACGTCGATTCCGCGTCTCTCACGGCCACATAGTCTCTACTCCCCTGCCGCTGCAAGCGCTAGCAAAACGCTGGTGAAACGCTGGAGAAACGCTGGCGTACGCTAGCGTACGCCAGCGTGCCGCTGGTGACGCTGGTGAAGCTAGATCGATATGCATCCTCTCTTCGGCACTGCCGCTGGCGTACGCTGGAAGCGCTACGGGGGGGGCGGGGGGCGCTACGCTGCGCTACGCTAACGCTAGCTGCCGCAAGTATAAACGCAGCTAAGGGATTTTTCGAGCAGTTACTGCAGTTTCAGGGTTTAAATGCAGAATGCGGTGTTTAGACTGTTTATATTGTTCGATACTTAAATGACCTAGAAATTCACAACTTCAAGCATCATGTAGACTGAGAAATTCCTAATAGAATGATATAAAAAACAAAAGCAAAATATTTTTATGTTCGCACGAATTTCTGAGTAAGAAAAGAAGCTCATGACTCGTTGGCCGGCTCACAAATTTATAAGAGCAATGAATAAAGGCAGTTCTGTGCTCCAGTGAGTGAAATACAATTCGGAATCAATAAGTGATCTAATCCCTTTCAGGTGTGTGGTGTGGAACCTTATTTAACTGCATTGTTCTCGCACTGAATCGCGTAGTTGAAATGATTCCTTCAGCACATGGCCTTCGCTTTCTTTTCCAAGGTTGGTTGTCGCATTCGAGTGGGGAGCATTACATCCAGATAGCAGCATTGCCAGCATAAGCAGTATATTGTCTAGACCGACATAAAGAGAGCTAGCCGACTTTTGAAGACACACACGCGCAACACACAGAGATTCGGAAGTGTCAACGCAAGACGCTACTACATGAGTGAAGCGCTTTTTTTGTTGTGAAGGTGCTACCACCTGTTCTGCAACGCCTATATTGTCGTACTTGCTGCGAATGGGAAGCAAAGCTCCACACTCTTTGCACTGTGTACTGACAGTACCCTTTATTCTCATGCTGTTTCGATTCATCCACGTCCTAATCACTGCATATGTCCTGATGAACCTTTCAGGGAAGATGCTGTACTGTTGGATGGTGCTATCTGTAGCTTACATGCTATCCTTACCATTCGTCAATCGAACAAATCCTTTTAATACAGCTGTTTCTGCTTATATTCCTTCACCTGTGATTACCGACGACCACCAACAAGTGAGTTAGAGCGATCTGTTTCCAGAGAAACGGAGTACAAAAATGATATTGTATTTGGTAACTTTTCGAGCTCAAGGTGGAGAAGTGCCGTTTTGTAGTGTTTGTATATAGTGTTTGCTGTGTTAGAGTTTGCAAATTTTGAAATGATTTAATTTGTCACTATCTTCATATGTAGACTGGGTCCAGAACCGAGATTAGGAAGTCTCGATTTCGGTGTGAATTTCTTTCACTCGGCGCGCCTCTACAGGTTATCAGTATATCACATATCAGTTGGCATAAACCATTAAGTAAGACTACTGTGCCGCTTTAGGAACAACCTGAAATGGAACGGGCCTCGACTCTGCGACACTGGGGGCCCTGCGACAAGCACACCCTCCATCTGTCTCCTTTATCTGTGGTTGTGAAACAAATACCCATGGCGCATCTCCAACCTAATCCAACCCCTTTCACGAAAATCATCAGAGGACATCAATAGTCTTTCAGTTACTCGGATTAGTGCTGCTTCTGGATTCCATGCGGCAGACCGTGTCAAACATACAGCTACTTGGAGAGGAATAGTTGCAAGCAGGTTGACAGTCGAGAACGCTCCATCAACCAGGGGCTAAAAAAGGGATTCTTCACGCGTCATCATTACCTCACCCTATGAAGAACCGGATCAAAGGGTAAAGATGAAATAAAAACCAACTGTTTGAGGAAAATCGCACTGACCATTTAGTGGAAGAGAAACGTAATGTACAGGGGGAGGGGGGACCAAAAAAAACATTTCGACCTTGAGTCAATATGCACCAAAGTTTCGCAGCCATGACAGAGGAGCAGTGCGTTTTCGAGTACCGTTGGTTGAGAAATACATAAGAGTTCCATCGTACTAAGCAAGGAGCTGGCTCTCACTATCACCTATCATTGTACTATTCATTTGACAAATATATGAAGTCATCGGTCCACCGTTGCCAAGCTGAATGGAGAAGACTTTGGAAATTCACGTCACCTCCAAACACCTGCGATACTTTCTAGGTGTGGAGTCACCCGGGTAGAGAGGCCTAGCACGGGGAACCTTGAGTCGCGGCATTTGTAAGCCTGGATACCTTCCAGCGATCGAGCAGCCGCCCCAATAACGTCGCTACAGCGTTAGTGATATCGTCTTTTACTGCAGTCGCCAAGGCGTGTGGTGGTTATGTTTAGACGCAGGTACTGAAATGATTTAGACCGTATTTCTTCCGTGGGCCCCTAACTGAAGGTGAGCACGTAGCGTTTAACATGAGCAAGAAAAATATCGCTCTGCACATGTCCCGTAAGCTTCATGGAAACTTTCGTACTGCTATGGGTGAGCACCAACATGGAATCAGGGGGGCGTCGGAGAACTCTGCCTACCTGGAATGTAAGGGCGTTGAGTACCTCGAAAAAGTGGACTATCAAAGTTAGGTCAACTCACCCTGAACTCCGCAGATAATACGTTTCGGTCGAGTTCATTTAGAACAGAGTGGTCTACGGTGGCGGAGTAAATCGACTATACTCGCTGAATCTCAGGCAGCCAGCAACGTCGACGAGTCGCGTGCTCGAGAATCTCTCGAATGGCGCTCACTGCAAAAGGCTGTGGCGGAACATCAAGATAGGTATTTCAAATATCTACTTATAAATATTGTTGTAGAAATGTCCAATAAGAATTTAATAAAGTGTAACTTATAGCGCCTCGGAAGCTAAGGAAGAAGAGTCTTTTTTGCCCCCCCCGCCCGTATAAGTCCAACTCGGTGCAGCAGTGCATAGGATGTTTTGAAGATACGCAGAATTTGTTGCTGGCAGATGAACTCGGAGTAATGTGGAAAAGTTATCACTGTTCGCACAACATACAACTTTGTGTGTTCGGTTTTGCATCGTGGTTGGTATCGCGAAAAAAGCGTGTCTCAGGCTTTGGGAGAGGAGTCGCCACTGCATAGCGCGGGTTCGCAAAGCAAACAGTTCTGAAGGAATAGTTACCCCTAGAGGTGATGCAGGGAGTGGAACGGGAACACTTGATGGGTGGCAGAAAGTTATCACAGCTCATAAAATACGATAAGAGCCTAGAAGAGGGGAGTCGCCCGTCAGATTCATAGCTTGGGTCGCAGCAACTGCAGGAGATCAGATCCGCCAGTAATGTGGGGAGTGGGACGGGTGTCAGAAAGGGATAACAACTTATAGAAACTGATAAGCGCTGCGCCTGTCACCCAGGGTCGCTGCTTATAAGGCGTTGGGGTTTCAGCTGCTCGAATTTTGAATGTTCAGTGGTAGGGAATTTGACGTCAGTAGACAAGTAATAATATCAGTTGATAAGAATAGGTGAAAGGTTTTCTTGACCACATTTTTCAAGTCTACATTGCTGCCTCTGTAGCATATGCATTACAGACAGAAGTTATTGCTCCTATGTCCTGAACGAGGTAAGGCGTGGCATTCGAACATGGCACAGAACTGGTTACTCGTGGGATATTTCAATTTGAGACAACCGCCATCTTGTTCTTTGTTGGACAGAGACGTGACCACATTTGGGTAGATGAAGTACGCAGCCACGCCTACCTCATCTCAGGAATTTCGAGTGTAGCTCGGCGTGGGCACAGGCACTGTTCTGCGTAATGGATGTCCACCCAGTCAAACATGTTCATGAGGACAGAGATAGAAACTGATTCGAGCCCCAATCAACCCGATTGCGCCGTAGGTTGCGCTAGAGAAGGGTATTGTGGGAAGGCACTGTTTCTGCGTAACGCGTGTTCATAAATAAAATATATGGTATGACATAGAATTCTGTTCCGCTGAAAAACCTCACTGTTTTGATTTTTATTCCAATCAACCCTTTGTAACAGATTAGTATAAAGGAAGAATGGGCACAGAGTTTTTCTTTCAGCGAATCGATCTAGCCATTCCGACAGCTAATCGAAGGCGGTGAAGCGCCCCAGCTGCAGTCGCGCAGTAGCGCCACCAAATTGCGAACTATGGACGCACTTCAAACACCTTTTTTCCTTTTGCACCGATAACGTACATGATAGTGATAGATGAAATGACCAAGAACAGTTTTTCGATGTTTCGCTGAGCCTCGCGTCTTTTCTTTCTTGATTCGTTGATTCATTTTGCCAGAAATTGCCAGAAGTTACTAATGAAGAGGTCAGTGACGAACAGTCATATATCGAAACCATTCCACTGGCATGTGGAGGAACGACTTGCATCAGTCAATAACTGGGTCACTCACCGAAAATCGGCATTGACTCTCCCTAGCTCCGGAGTTAGTAAGCAACAAAGAAGCGAAGAGCAGAAGCGATTGCTATCGACCAGAATGTATTAGGTTGGAAAAAAGTCCTGTCAGTGTTTCTTGAAAGCTTATAATTTTTGTTCCTTGATGCTCGAACATGACGTAACATGCTATGCTTGTAGAACATTCTAGGAGCTTTCCCGCAAGAGGTACCTAAAAGGCACCTGGTCTTCCCTGGGTTTAATTACAATGCCAGCTCCCAGGAAGTCACTACCTTCTTTGAGTGGTGCCGTGGCACTGGAGCGACGGCAGCTGACCGCAACATCAACAGTGCATTGGGGAAGGACACCACTACCATCAGAACTGTCCACCTCTGGTTCACTCAGTCTTGGGTGTACCTGATTGACAGTCGTCAACCGCCTGTAAGCCCTTGACTACCGAAAAGTACTGGCTCGATGGATCACTCATACCTTGACCGATGGCACGCTGTGCACCCGGGTACCCCTTGGTCAGTCTCCCCTTCTCCGCCCTCGTCAAGAAGGAGTTTCTAGGAGGCTGCTCAGTGGAGATGACAGATGGGTCCTTAGTGATATAAACCCACAGAGTGCCTAGTGTCTCTCTCAAGGAGAAGATCCATCCTAGCAGTCCAAACCGGGCATGCATCCGAGAAGGTTCTCCTGTGCTGCTTCTGGGACGCGAGGGGAATGCTGCACAACGAGCTGCCCTGTAAGAACACACGGTCACCGCTACCATTTGTGCCGCTCAGCTCCAGAAACCCGTGGAAACTGTTGGAGAAAAATGACCGAGACTAGCTTCGGGGCACCTCGTTCGTAGTACGCGAGACCCCATACTGCTATGGAGACCTACCAAATAATTGAGGAGCAAGGCGGGAGACCAGACCCCGCTCATCATATACTACCGACGCCTTCTACGACTGCTACCTGCTCCGCCTCCTTGATGGCTTTCTTAGCCAAAAAACTGTCAGCAACTTTGATGACATCAGTCGAGAGGCCGCCGACTTACTTGACTCGCAGCCTCCTGAGTTTTGAGAGAAAGGAAATGCTCACCTGTCTATTAGGTGGAGCACTGTGGTGGCTAAAAATGACCAGTATATTGCTTGACTAATTTCCATTGTATGTTGAGTTAGAAAACCAAAAAGAAAAAAGTCGCAACAGCGACAAGACTTTCTTTCCAACCTATTATAAAGGAACTTCAGTAACAGTGGCAATCAGTACTTCATGTAGCTTACTTCATCGTTCACCATCTTCTTTAAGTCTTTTTCAGGAAGCGGCTCACTACGGTACAATTCTGATGCCAATTCACAATATTGTCTCTGTAACTATCATAGTGAGCCTTTACACAGTTCTCTGTGTGTATTTTGTCAAAATGCGCGGTATCGTAATGAAAGGCCACAAGTTGCAAGTACAGGTGACGGTGTTCAGAAGAATAAAGCATCTCTTCAAAATGTATTGAGCTTCAAAGGGTTGGAAATGATGTTGCAGCTAGAACCGCTCCCATATCTTTGGCGTTTTTCTCATTCTGGTTTGAATTCAGCTGAACCGCAGAGCTCCACATCCTGTAGAGAAGCGCTATCTGATGGTATAATTGCCGTTTCACCATTGCTTGATAAACCCTCTTTTTCAAGATTTTTTCAAGCATGTGAAAAGAGCACTTCGGACGATTTTTTTCTTCGACTATAAATTGGGGCAATCCGCAATCGAAACAGCTCAACAAATTAACCAGGTGTGGGGGCCCAATAGTGCTAGAGAAAGCACTGTGCGGCAATGGCTCAACAAATTTCGTTCTGGAGATTTCAGCCTTGAAGATGAACCTCATAGCGGTCGACCTAAAGCAATATCTGACGAGGATTTTAGGGGGATTTTGGAGGCTGACCCATCCCAAACAGTTCGAGAGATAGCAGAAGAGCTAGGCCTTGGCAAATCCACTGTTGCATGGTCTGGAACGCATTGGGAAGGTGAAAAAACTCGACAATTGGGTGCCCCACAATCGGAGTGACCGGCAGGAATCGGCACGTCTCGAGGTTCCTTCTGCATTGCTTTTGCGCAGCAGAAACGACCTGTTTTTGGCCGAATTGTCACCTGTGATGAAATGGCATCTGTACGATAACTGAGACTTTTCCGGACAGTGGTTGCGATTCCAACGAACCACCGAAGGTGAATTTTCAAGCGAACCCTCACGAAAAATAGGAAGTTGATTCCAAGCAGTGATATGGAGGCTGTGACGGGAACATTATTGGTGGGTGACAGGGAGTGATATCAGCTGATAAGATCCGATAAGAGGCGTCTGAAGGGAAGGGTCACCGAGTCCATAGTGCGGGACACAGCAA